GAATGAGTGGGGGGGGGGGCACGGGCTGGGGTGGGGGGGGTGAAGAAAGGAGAGAATAAATATGACAATCTTTCTGAGACCTGCGGGCAGGATTACCGATGCAGGCTGCCATAGTTATTAAACACGTTCTAAATTAAATGCCTCCATGAATTTTGCACAGAAATACATTTTCATACGTTTGCATGCCAAATGTGGCATTTCATATTTCAGATTCATCTCGCCGCAGTCATTTTGGGGAAATGTCATCTAAACAAAGATTTTGTCATTTACCAAAGGAAATGACTCCGCGTAGCAGCTTTGGCCGTTGCTTTCTCTCGCTGCGTCGTTCTCCCTTCCCCTCTCCCTCCTCTGCGCCCGCCCGCCCGCCCGAGTCTGCGTGCGCCGGTTGTTTCAAGTCAGCAAGCCATAAAAAATCTTTATCTCGGTGAAACACAGCAATTTGGGAGATAATCGAATGGTGACTGGGGGGCACGAGCGCCAGTCTGAGGAATTATACCACAATCTCCCCTGCATTTACAACCTTCCTCAAAGCCAGTTGTCACCCTGGAAGGAAAAGCCCCCGACTGAAGATTCATTACATCTGGAAGAAGCCAGCGCGGCGGCGCGGCGGCCCCCGTCCCCGCGTGCGGCACAACGGCGCACTCCTCCCACAGCTGCCGATGATCCACATTCTTCTCTTTCTCCCTCGTCTCGCCTCCAAACCCCTTTTCATCTGCGAAGGCGGCGTCTTCCTCCTCCGACGCCTCAAACTTGTCGGAGGAAGCTGCCGCGAAGCGTGGCCCGCTGCCGCCTGGCTGGCGGACGGCAGGTCGCTCGCAGTGCAGGATGACGTCGGCCGAGTCTTTCCGATATATAACCCCTGCGATTGCTCACCGATTCAGGATCAATACATCCTCAGATTCGGTCTTTGTCGCTGCGTCTCGTTCCGCCAAGCGGGTCCGGTTTGATGACGTGGCGCGTTATTCTATTTGGTCGGCTTACTCCGACAGCCGGTTTGTGCTTCGAAGCCGTTTTTTGTCGCGGGCCACGCGGGAGTTCGCGGTTCCCTCGGAGGGCCGTGATGACTCGAACATACAAAGAAGTCAAGAACAAGAGTTTGCTGAATCGCTGGTCAAGTTGCCGTGATGAGGGCTTGATTTATTACGTGGGAGAATTGAACCGTTTTTGAAGTCGACATGATCGATTGGCTTTCGCCGGCCACGTAAAATGAGGCGGCCCCCGGTCCTGCCGTTGGACGGGCGCGTCCTCCAAGAGATCAGCCACCAAAGGCTCGGCGAGCGTGTGAATGCGACCATTGAAAGAACTTGAAAAGAATCAGCACCGCCGAATGATCAATCCACGGTCACGTGGAATTCGACCTTACCGAGGAGGATTGTGGGAGTTCCGTCGTCTCTCCGTACGTGGGCGTGGCTTCCTGGCCTTCTCGCGGGCTGTCCGGGGTATTGCTCCTGCACGCCACACGCACAAAAACAACAAGCTAACCCCGTTAGAAACCCGCATTTTGGACTCGCCGGCCGACAGCGGCGCAATCTAATAAGAGCGCGCGAGCAAACACTTCTTCTTTCCTCCTCTCGCTCCCTTTCTCCGCCTTTCATTCTTATCAGAGGTAATGTAATAAGCGACCGCTTCGCTCTGTCTCCTCGCCGCGTCTCTTAATTCCTCCAAATCAAGCAATATCACAGGGGCCCCGGCCCGCCTGTGACTGGGGATAAGACGGGAGTAAAAAAAGGAGGATCATTCGACAAAGAAACCTCCGCATCAAAGGCGGGCACGGGCTCTTTCTTTTCTATCCTTCCCCGCCGTCTCTGTTTGCCCATCAAAAGTATTACATGTGCTTTCATCAGTTCACAACAAGGCACAATGCGCCTTCTAATGCAATTACTCAACCTCCATTAAATCAGAAAGAGTGGCGACAAATGAATTACACATTTGTTACAAAAAGGAGGGGGAAAAAAAATCAAAACAACGCAAGTCAGCGCCATGTCTCCACTCTTTTTTTTTTTTTCCCTTTCATGGGCATGGCGAGAGAAATGGCGAAATCATTTCTCATTCAATTCCAGGCAGATGTAGCCCTAGGTGATGCGTAGAAAGTCTCCCGTGTCTAATAGCCACCCACCACTGATATCGGAAGGAATTTACTGGGTTCAAAGCTGTCGAGAGGAGGTCACCGCGCTAAACCCCCCCAACTACATTCATCTGACACGGCTGGTGTCCAACTACCCACCCACCCATAACGCAGCCAAACACAAGAGAAGATCCTGATGCGCGCGCGTGCGCGCGGTATTTTCATGATTCTATTATGTCAGCCGCCACGCTAGCCCGTAATTACTCCAAAACAAAATCATGCGCAGCCGAGCGCCCGCGGGGCGCTCGCTACGAGATGTGACGTGCCATCTCGGACTTGGAGCGGACGCGCAAAGAACTGCGAGCCCGACGACACGGACACGATTCTGCGGCCCGGAGCCGTCCTCTAACGCACGATGCGATGCACGCGCGAGGATTAAAACGCTCTCTCAGATGTCCGCCAAAAGACAAATGCCTTTCACACGGGTAATGACCATGTGACATCGGATACGCAAATAGAGAAAAATGTGAGAATGAAACGGACTCACCAGTGGCCGATGGTGGTTAATCTGGATTGGGTGCGTGCGGCCTCCTCGCGGTGGCTTTTGGGACGAGGCGCCTTGTAAAAATGAAGGCATCCGAATTAGCGATTAACCAAAATATTTGTGGCCCACTGAAGACGCTTGATGGAGGATTGGCTGACTCCAAAATCAAGTGCCTGACAGTTTCCAAGTGCTCTTTGGAATACAATGAATAGCAAATACACAGATTGATTGAGCGTTTATACGTTCACCCATTGAGCAAGAACAGTCCTGCGGTATGTTACGAGCAAAAAAAAAAAATGGACTGAGACACCATTTCATTCGACTTTTGCATGACTTCATCCAGCATGACAGAAATTATCCGTCCAGCTCGATTAAGATCCCTAATTTGACAATGTATATGTTTTCCACTTCGTCCGATTCAATTGAAGAGCTCCAGCAAAGAGGTTCCTTGACGTTGACATTGATGGAGAGCTATTTATTTGGCCAAATGTTTATTATTGCACTTTTCGTTTGCAGTAAATGCTTGTCCAATTTTGCTTTCGCCTCTTACCAATGTGTTGCGCTTATCAAGTTGTCTCACACACACACACACACACACACCAAGTCTCGATAAAAAGCACGGGTAGTAGCGCAAACACACACACACACACACACACACACACACACACACACACACACACACACACACACAAACACACACCAAGTCTAGATAAAAAGCACGGGTAGTAGCGCAAGATCTGTGATCTCAACGTCGGCCTTACTTTTCCACTCCCATCGAAGACGTCCATCAGCCTTCTCTTCATCTTTGCCCACTCGCTCATCTTCGCGGGCGCCTTCAGAGCAGCGTGCGGTAAATTGACAAGCACACAATGGAAGAGTTGACTAGAAGAAATGAACACCGCTGCAATCTGCGGTGAATCGATACCGGGCCGGACCCCGAAGACATGTTGCGTTACACCAGCGCGAGTTTACATGCAGTCAGCACATTCGCACGGGCCGTATAGACGCATTGATGCCGTTAAGTGACGGCATCGTTCTGCTTTTCCGGCCTTTCTACGGAAGATGAGGCGAAGAAGAAAAAGGCCATTCTTTTCCCTTGAATAGATGGAAAATCTCCAGTGGATAATGCACTTTGAATGCGGAAGCAGGAGTGCAGTGCATAAATATCACGGGAGAATAAGATAACACTGATCCCGGCCCTGATATAAGGCGCCGCTTATCCAGGAAGGCAGGATGAGTCAACTTCTTTGACTTCTACGCGACGACGAGACATTGTTCCAACGTTTTTTGAACCAATTACGCTCACTTTACATTCCGATACGACAAGACTCTTACTCGTCTTTCAAGTGAGATTATGACTAAATATACTTTGGATACAAGTTCCGCAATCTGTTTATGGAGTCAGGGGGGGTTGGGCTGGGGGGGGGGGGTCTGCATTTCCGTACGCAGTGCCAACCATGTTCTTTTCTTCACTCCATTTCTGTTGCGAGTGGCAGTATGCAAGCGAATGTTCGGCTCGCTCAGCATCTCCACGCTTGTTCATCCTCGCACAAAAGCGCAGTTGGAGAGTAAGCCGTCATGCTGTCGTTGGCCTGAGCAGGAAAAGAAACACTTTGCTCACGCCCATAAAAGTCATCACCCTTCACTTTCGACGCCACAAGCAGACACTCCGCAACAATTGCGCCCTACAACAGTTGGCCAACGTCTTTCTTAAGCCAGCCTGCAAGAGCCACTCGGCGTTGTCACTGTCGCCTCTCTGTAATTTTGTTGAGAGGTCTAAGATGAGGACCATCAATCCATTCGATCCGTTCTTATGCATGCAACCCCAGCTCCACATTCTCCTCTTGAAGCAGGGTACTCCCAAAACAGGCCCGAAACAGGCGCCTTGGCTCAGCTGCGACCAGACGACAAGCGCAATAGAAAACGGATTGAAGGACGTGAGTCATAATGGCCTCAATTGAACCATCCGGCCGCCAGGATAATAACGGCCTGACCCTGATGTCATCATCCATCGACCGGGAAGCGCAACCATCCAGTGGGCACGGGCGTTTCTTGGCGCAGTTTATTTGGAAACTATTCAAACCTATTTAGGTGCCTCGGATGCACGATCCGGTAAGTGCTTTTTACTTGAGTGCATCCGGCAGACTTTCAGACTAAAGCAGCCAATTTTAAATAGTTGCGGCTGAAGAAAAAAGTGGGGCAAAGTAGGAAGTAAGTGGGCAAAGAAAAAGCACACAAAGTTCCACACTGACGGCAACAACTGAGAAATGCGCACGCACGTGTTCTTCTTTGTCCATTAGCTTGAGCCACCCGTACGCGGCATAATGGATGCGGCCGACGCGCTGGTGAATATGGGACCATGACACAGATATTCCTCTTTGTAGCTTTGTAGCTGACCTGCTGCAGTGAAAGGCTGCCAAGCGTAATCATGTCAGCTCGCGCGCGTTCCCTCGCCGGCCGAGCGCGGCGAGCGACCACCTCCTCGGAAGTCTTGACTGCAAAAGGAAAACAATCAGGATCCTCTTACGACACATCTTGAGGCATTAGTGCACATTATGTACGGACCGAAGAAATTTTGAACACGTGGTCGTCATCAAAACGTCATTTCGACTCTTCGCGCCTGTCATTTCCACATCCGTTCTCTAATTTCTCAACTCGAGTCAAATGGATTTCCAGAGCACCGCCGTAGACAAAGTGCTGCGCACGGAGCCAAAACGATTCAGACGACGGCAAACGCTAAAACAATACGTTAACAACAAAGGCAGTCGGAAGCACACAATCGGTCCGTCTAAAAATCAAGTCTCTGGCCGAGTTCACAAGCCAAAGAATAAGAATGCGTTTTGAGACGAGTTTTAAAGATGGGCAGCGAGCGGGCTTAGTTCTCGGTGCCTCTAATATCGTGTCTTGGTGGTCAGGCCTGAGGCCCGGGCGGGCGTGGAGGAGCTGTGAGAGGTCGGGGGGGCGGGCCATTTCAGGATTTGAAAATGAATCCGAAAATCTTCAAAAGAACTCTAAAATGAGCCAGTGAAGGGATGCGGGAGGATGTGCTCCCTCTTTATGAGTAGCGGTCAAGGATCGAGCAGCAGCGTTCTGGACCCACTGGAGGCGCTTCGTGGAGGTTTGGTTGACTCCAAAGACAAATGTGCATGCCAGTAATATTTGGGGGATTTTCATCCATGCGAGACAAGTAAAAACGAGTCAAATGACTTTCTACAACGCTCCCTCTGCCCATGACGGTCCTCACTGCTTGTAGCCCAAGCTCGCACTGGGCCCAGTTTGGGTTTTGGCAATGGGTACTGGCCTGGGAGGGCTCAGAGCCCGAGGCAGCGCCATCCCAACCACCGTGGAGCAGCAGCGGCTTACCCGCCTTCACCTCTAACGCCTCCTCATCCCCGGAGGCTACCACTGTACCTGGAAAGATGCGCATCAGTGGGCATGCGCACACCCTCGCGCACACGCGCGAAGCAGCACACGGAAACATTGTCACGCGCATAGATTTAGAAATGCATTTGCATGCATCCCGACGCAAATATTAAGTCAGAAGAGAGAAATTGGAAACGATGCAAACAAGAAAAGAAATGTAGCGCAGAGCGGGGCTGCTGTCGCACGGCTAAGTTGGCGCATCGCAATGAGAGGGCGCGGCTCAAAAAAACGGAATAGGCTACACACAGGCATTAAAACGCGTAGTAGTCCGTTCGGGGAAAGTGGAGCCTGTCGCAATTTTGGGGAAGAGACCGATCGCCGGGCAATCGTGACTGATACGTCAACACGGGAAATCACGGTTCATCCTTGAAAATGTCTGATAAAAAAATCGGGCCCAAAGTGCTCGGAGCTCATGCAAATGAAGCTTTAGTTTTCCTGAAAAGACTCGTCCTTCACACCGTGCGATACATCATCCTTCTTTGCTACCAAGGAACGATTTCAAAAATAAATCAATCAATCAAAGCTCTTTCTGTAGCTGGACATATTCCCCGCTCGCGCCCCCCTCGTTGTTTGAAAGCAGATGATATTGTTTGGGAATTTGTGTGCGTGTATAAACAACGTGTGTAGTCCCATATGTGCGACTGCCAAAGCTGTTGTCGCCATGCAGTCATTTTACAAGCTGCTCTCTATGCATACAGCCTGACAGAAAACTAGAATATAACGTACGCAGTAGAATGCCAGTTCTGTGCGTTTTCAATTCCCAGCTCGTCACGGCGATAGAATGAACATTTTTTTTTGTAAAGGGAGGAATGATCCTGGAGTCCCCCCCCCCGCCCGCCTCCACCTGTTAAATATGTCTACAACGACCTCACACTCCCTTTTATTAATACTGATTTGTGATTGTTCTTCTGGGCATTGTGGCAGACTGCAAAAGCTGAGAGACAAAAGCAAGGAAAAGCCGAAAGGGAGAGGGTGAGAAAATGTCAGCTTCAACGCCGACACACGCTGATCCACGTGTGCAAGTGCGTCGAAGCCGTGCGGCCTAGACTTGTGGGAGGCATCCATACAGAAGAGGAAGGTGATTGTCTGGAAGTCCAGCAAGGAAGCTGCGCGCTCGCTCTCTCTCTCTCTCTCTCTCTCTCTCTCTCTCTCTCTCTCTCTCTCTGCTTTTCCGCCTATATTGCATGCAGGAGCCGTTAATCCAAGATCCTCTTTACTTTTTACTGTGGGATTTCATGAACATTTCAAAACAATGGGGAGGGGGCTGCTAATCTCTGTGGCACAGCTAAATCCGAGACAAAGGCAAATAATAAGAGACGACTACATTCTACCGTGTTGAAGCGGCCCTAAACCTATCACTTGTGTACGGGAATTACAAGGAAGACGCGCGTCATGTCAACACTATCTGGTGCGAGTGTCTTCAGCCGGAACAATGCCGAGCTTAAACCGCCTCAACATGGCCCCGGCCGGCCACGCATTGAAAGGAAAGGGGAGCATGCGCTAATGAGCGCGGGCACGTCGGCATGCAAACAAAAGCTGCGGTGGGATAGCACTCGCAACCGCTGAGCTCTGGCCACGTGCTTGGTGCGCAGGGCAGTCGTCATGTTTGAACTGGGAACGCTAAGGTGTCACCCTGCAAAAAGTACTCCGCTACTGACACGCGATAAGCACTGGTGCCCACGTCATCGGGGTCGTTTCAAGAGTAGATAAGAGATTTGAGGGGGGAAAAAAAAGGGCTCAATTTTAGCCGGTGGCATGTTCGATCTGATGTTGGTCATTTTGAAGATGAGAACAGCTGGCGGATCTGCGTGAGGGTAGGCTGTGCCACGGTGGGAGTGGGCCACAACCGTCTTCAATTATGGCCAACGTGGCTCCGTTCTTTCCCTCGAAATGCTTGGCACAGCTACGAAAATCAGGATTTGGGCACATTCCACAGTCCCTCAAAACAATTACGGTCAATATTAGTGTGTGTCGTGCAGACTCCCCCCAAGCACGTCAAGTATGAAGAAAACCTGCATTTGATGCAAATTGATACGAACAATTTGACTCCTATTTATGGTTACATGAATGTGATACTTGGAAGCTGAGTAATATCTTTTTAGGGAGCAACCCGTGGATTTGTTTTTGTGGTATTATTTTGTTGATATTTTTTTTTGAGGAATTTCAAATCAACTCCGAAAGTGTGATCATTACCGAAGGCGCATTCGAGTGATGTTTCGGTCGTTATTGGGCACATCTTGATGTTCAAGCCACCAAGATACATGAACAGCGCAATCCTTTCGGAACACATACCGGGCATGTCAATGCAGGTGTCTTCTTCATCCAACAACCCGACCATCCTTCGCTCTTGCAGTCCATTTCCGGCGGCTTTTAATGTTGCTGCAAATACATAACAACGATTACAAAACAAAAAAGAGACGACCTACAGAAGCGTGCTTCAAAATCCTTTCCGACTTATCGGGCACGTCGATCCACAGCAAATATCGACTTGTGAATGATTGATATGAGCCCGGACGAGGACGGGCCAAAATGGAGCACGCGCAGTCAGGTGAAGACGCGGGAGCGTTAACTTGCCCGTTAGCCGGCCTGTCATCAGGTGATGAGATTTGCCTTCGTGAATCCTTTGATATTACACGGCAGTGATATCCGAAAGATACAGGTGAAATGACTTCTCCATTAATAGCCACGTTTCATTATAACCGCCATATTACTCGGCTCCCAGGAGCTCACTTTTAATAGGCCTGGTGGGGGGGGGGGGGGCGCTGCGAACTATCGAGTCAAAAGCGACAACGGACGCGGGGCGAATAGAAGCGGAATGCGGAAAACTGACCAATGATACGTGACCTTCATCAATGACAGTGAAGTCGGGGAGCCAATCTAGCGACACCATCATGTGGCGTATTTACATAGACTGGGCCGAGCCTCGCCAATGGTGATCTCTCTCACCTCCCTTTAATGGACCGAGGCGAACTATGATGATGGCGGACGGCATACTTAATTCGAGCTCATCTTGGCAGCAGACCGCGGCCACGCCGCCACGCCTGGAGTCCGTCTGCTCCGCCGAGATCGGGTCAAAGTCGTTTCGGGCAGATTCATTTCCTGTGAAAAGTGCACGAAGCAAGAGAATGAAAGGTGTGCTGGTGGCGGGGCGGGGGAGTGAGGATGTACGGGTTCAGGTTAGGAGTTATTAGAAGCACATGAAGCGAAATGTTAAGTTTGAAAGGCACGCTGCGGAAGGGCAGGGCCAAGGGCTTCTTGCAGATAAGGCAGAGCCAGTAAGAAACCCGCGATGCGAAGCAGAACTGAGAGAGAGAGAGAGAGAGAGAGAGAGAGAGAGTGTGTGTGGAGGTTTTCTGTGTGCGCCCCTGCATGGCCTGCAGTGCTCTGGGGCCTAATTAGCATGCTGCAAAAGGTCACGGCAGGCAATCTCTTAAATACGACTGCCATATGTTTGCCGTGTTCAAAAGGGACTAATGAGAAAGTCGACAAGCTCAAAAGTACCTGGAATTTCAAAGACAATACCGTCCTAATCCTGGGGTGGGGGGGGGGGGGGGGGTCAGCGGCCTAGAGGACTGAGAAAGGGTGGAGAAGGAGATCCAAAAGGAAAATAACCCGGGCCTCTGTCTCATTGACTTCTTATTAGCAATCACTGACCTATCAAGTCTGCTGCACAGAGTTTATGGGAATCCGACCGCTCGGGGGCACTCCCTATTAAAAGTGCTCCCCACCGAGCCGCTTTCTGAAACCCAAATCATTCTCATTACAGCCTTTGAATATTTCACTCCCATCTAAATAGTTTGCCACATATTTTTCAGTTTGCAGGGTGAGAAAATGTCTTAAGTATCACCTTTTTCCAAGTCTGGTGCCGCCACCACGATCGCTCGGGGAAAGTAGCATGAGGTTCTCGCAGCAGAATGAAATGTGCGTTCAACCAGGAGCGGCCGTGCGTCTCTCGATCCAACAAGCGCTGATGGCTGAACGCCCCGGGTCACATAAGTACTGCATGTGACAGCAGCCGAATCCCATTCAGAACCCGCAAAAAAGAACAAACGAGCGCCCCAAAAATAGGATGGCTGGAGTTTGCACCGTCTGTGCCTCTTTTGTTTCCAATTTTGTAGCAGGTGCATCTAGTGTAGTAACCACTTCATGTCTTACAACCTGGCTAGCAAAATGTAATCACTCAACAGCATGAAATGTAAAAAAAAAAATCAAGTACCTGCAAAGTTACCCCACGATAAATAATTCATCGCGCAAAGGTTTTATGAATTTTCCATCATGTATATATGAATGCACCAGATTTATTCCTATTCTCTATATTATGTATGTTCAGCAACCACCTTTTTTTAAAAAAAATGGTCTGCATGATGGACCTTCTGACATCCTATTAAATAAAAAAACAAACGCTATCCTCGTTCTTTTGCGTGAAGACACGATGGCGATACATTGACAGCAATTACATTCGATGCACCGCGAAAGCAAAATCAATCACACACAGCAAAAAACTGCCATGTGACTCATCCCTGAGAAAACTGGCACGCTCGCAACCTTGGACGCATCCTAATTTCCCCATCCCATTCCTCAAGAGTTCTTCCTGACATCGTGAATTATAAGGGGGCACATTTGTATGCCTGATTGGCCCCGAGCCGTGTTTCGGAGGCGTTGGCAGCGCGGCGCCACAGACGCCGCCTGGGCTCCGTATCGTAGTAGCGTATGTAAATGCGCTCTCCTACGACTCCGGCCCACCACAAGGCACGGAGCTGAGAGTGGGAGTCAAGGCCGATTGTGTCGAGGGGTGCTTCCAGATAGCGATAGAACACCCACTAGTGGAGCGTTCTTCACTGGAAGAAGTTCTGGGAGGGGCTTTTGCCTGTGAGGACACGCTCGCTTTGGAATGCAGGGACCGAGGGGCCCCTGAACGCAGAGAAAGAGAGTTCGAAAAGAAAGCGGGGGGTAAAGGTTAGATCAGGAACACATCTACTGCCAACAAATTTGAGGCTAATGAAAAATGAAGCTTCACCTCTTTCTTTGGCTGAGGCTTGCAGCTCTATTTTTTTTTTTTTTTATTTAGGTGGGTGGGGGAGGGGGAGGTGAAGGGAGCTGCAAGGGCGCTATCTGCCCTGTCACCTTGAATTTCTCTCGGCGGCCAAACGGGAAGAAGGGAAGGCTCGGCGCTTCCTCCTGCGTCGAAGGCTGGGTTTTCCATGCCCGCCGCATCTACTCTCGCTGACAAAATAAGCGGAAATATCAATAAAAATACACAGAGAGACACGAAGGAGGGATGCGGGCGTCGGGTCAAACGGGCCCATTGTAAAACAAAGCATCTTTGGAGGCAAAATATTGCCGTTGCTGAGTTGTCTGCCCCCACAACGTTCTCACGCATCCTCCTCGGTTGACACTAAAACACAATTAGGTTCAAATTAAATCAGAATCTTGCAGGAAGAGGAGGGGGTGGGGAAGGCAGAAGAAGAAGAAGAAGAAATGATTAAAATAATTACAAATTGCGCCCTGACAAGCAAGAGCAAAATTTAGCCCAAAGCCATTTGTCTGTAATTAGTTAATTAATCCTTACACAAATTATGAGCAATAACTCATCAAGCAGGACTCACCCATCAGAAATTCAGCCGACTTGGATTTCTTCTGCTTAGGTTGCTGCGGAGCCTTCTGCTGTAACTTCTGGAGGGAAATTGTGAAATGAATAAATTAGCTGCGGAATGAAGATCATCATTTATGATCCGCAACTAACGCAGTATTTTAAATATGGGACGACACTGAAATGTCATTTAATTTACATCGCCGCTAAAGGGGTCAAGCGCTAATTGAACAACAGGAGTGGAAAAGAAAAATTCATCATAAATAGATAAGAAAAGTTGACATGAATGTGTAATGAAGGTCACATTAAAATATGTCCTCCTTGTTCCCGTTTTTTTTCTCCCCCCCCCGCCCGCCTCTTTTTTTTTCTTCTTCTTCTTTTAATGAACAGGCA